TCTAGTCACGAGCGTAGGACAAAGAAAAACTTCTGAGTCCACGTGAAGAATCGAACCTCTGAGCACTCGTCTGGTGTTGCTTGAGCCATGAGGTTTAATAATCTAAATAACGTGACTTGCGAGTTACAAGAGGTTCGGGATGCCCTGTACCAAATCAAGCTGAATTATTTACGAGAGTTCGGGTAATATCCGACATTCAAGCATTCAGGCTTACCAGGCATTGACTCTCTGGGCATTTTTTCAGCTGAGATGTTGCGTTATTCCCCAGCTTCTTAGTTCCTAGCACCTCAGACAGAAACATTCCAAAGAAAACAACTCTGAAGATCGCGAACTTCTTCGTAACAAACAAGAAGCAGAGCTGAGCGCGTGGCGCTAAAAGCCAATAATCATTGCTTGCTTTTGTCACGCGGTGTTGTAATCGCTGTGAACTCAATTTGCCCAAAATTTTTCGCCTCAGTTGTTTCCTGTGAGTTTCAATAAATTTCATGGCTTTCTCTCGAGCTCCGAGAAAAATATGATCTGAGGGTTATAATTCTGCCAGTCTAGAACAAGAAATAAGAAGAGTGAAATCATGTAATCGGGAAATCGACAGATAACGTACATAACAGCTTTCAAGGGAAGACAGTTGGTTCATAATTATAATCAATAATCCTAAGCTAAGAAATAAATGCAAAAGGTCGGTACACAAAAGAAAAGTTCTTTCACATCAATGCGACCATTTTCTCATAAATGATGCAAATCTCAGTGAAAGTGCTGACAGCTGGCGCTCGTTGTATTTGTGAAAAATTCGAGTGAGCAGTAAGTTTCCGAATTTAGATAAATATTATTGTGGACGTAGCGGAAAGTCTTTAGATATTAGCACGTGTCCGAGGGGGAATTGGCTGTTGAAAGTAGCGCGCTCAGCAAAAGGCACCAAGGACACTAAGTCTTTAACATTTGTTCCCTGATGCAATTGTACTTACAGCAAATTTACATCTGTCGCTTTTCTATTCCTTTCTCTGAGTAACTCTTGTCAACTCTCTATTTCTACTTTTTGTATCTCTGATCGACTCTCTTACTTCGAACTGTAGGAATGCAAAGATGCAACAATACATTTTAAAAGAAGTGACATTTTGATAGAAGTGAAGTCACACTTATGCTAATCTAAACAAATTTTTCGATCGACGATTGACTTTTGGAATGTATAAGTATAATTTCTAAACGTTCGTGCATTGCTACTGGAGCTTCGTAAATAATTTGTTTGGTTTATGAGACAGGATATATTGAGAGGTAAGGAAAGACTGATCCCACCAGTAATGAAGTAAAATTGTTTACACTCCTACAAGCCTTGTCGTAATGAATGCAAGTCGAATTTGCAGAAGTTAAAGAAAGAAGAGGGGGGAGGAGGATAGAAAAACATGAAAAATCAAATTGAAATGAAAATTTAGTGCCATAGCTTTGATGGTTTCGACGTTTTTTTTTTTTCTCGAGATGAAAATTAAAATGAGAAAGACTTTCTCGACCCCGTAGTGGAGTGATAGAAGAGGACTGAAGATCGAGTCAGAGGTGAATGGAAGCAATCACTCAGAAGGTAATCACACTCTAACTTGCAAAGAAATTTTCCTCCTCTGGGGAAGATCCTGAGGATATTTGAGGAAGGAATTACAATTTTAGAGAATTCAGTTCGCGGTTTGGATTATGTTCATAATCAAACACAGCTGTTGGTAGCAGTTCTTTACTAACTCAAACCACGCATCATAGACAGCTAGCTAAGAAATTAGAGTTTTACCGAAAACTAAGTCACCAGGAAGACAACCCGAAGACAGAGAATATCAGGCTAATGATTAGGGTCTTTTCGGCTATCGCATTCTTTAAGAACGCTATTTTACATTTATCTCTGTAGTAAACCTTTCTCTACATCAGGTGCTGATGCAATGCATTCAGTAGCCAAGTCGACCAGCGTAGATGAAGACTGTGTATATAACTTTTCGGCTTCGCGGAAAAGTTGAGTCTCATGACGAAAAAACAAAAATGATGACAAGTGCATCTCAAAGCATAAAGTAAAATATTGCGAAACCTCGTCAAAGAGTCGAGAAGTTAGCTTTGTTTATATTTTTCGGTTTTTAATTTAAAGTGCTCAATTTTTTTTGTCATGTTTACACAGAGAATGAATAGGAAGTATTCCAGTATTCTATATTTTCCTCACAGAACAAATATTCACATTTCAAAACTCAATAATAACACTGACTAACACATCTGTAGGAAACGAAGATAATAAGCACTTATGCTTCAAAAGTTTATGTCGATCAATATTCTTAGTACTTGTGATATCAAGTAGGTGTAGTTCAAAAATGTAATCAGATGAATATGAGGGACGGCGCTGCTGATCAGTACAGAAATTAAGAAAATCATGAAAAAAATCGCCATCACTCAAAGGCCACACGTACTGTTAAAATATAAGTGTAACGAATGCATAAGTTTCGCGTCCGGCACTCTTTTCAAAGGAGAGGTAATTAATTTCTTTTCAAAAGGCGATACACTTTGAAAAAGTAATTGAGTTTTCACTTACACGCAAAGAAAGAATCACTGAAATTAATAGCTAGAAGGACTTTTTGTATGGACCTTGTCTGGTCGCTATAGTCTCCCTTCTTTTATTTTACTGGTTTAAGCTTTTATTATGTCGCACTTAAAAAGACAACAAATCATTATAATTTGTCGATTGGAAGACAGACAGGCAGCACTAGACTTACGGTGAACCAATGAAAACAGTACAAAGTACATGACAAGTTGTTAAGTGCATGTCAAAAGATGTTTTTTTTTTTTTACGAGCACTATTTAGGTGCTTCAAAAAAGTGCCTAATTTAGGAAAGAAACTTTTTGTAGAAGGAAGTTGATATCATGTAGAGTAAATTTTCCTTTCTCTCCAGAAACACAAATTTTGATAGTTTTTACAGCTCTATGTTGCCATGAGTTCTTCAGCAATGTTGTTCCTTGTTCTCGCATTTTCGTTCAATTTAGAAGCAGTGAACTGTTTTATGTTTCGTACGATACCCAGTCACGCATTTAAGGGTCTCAATTCGCAAACGCTCTACGACCTAGATTGGCTGAGTTGTTTAGAAGCTTGTAGCCGCAGCGAGACATGCGTGTCTTATAACTACAACTCGCTTCCAGATATTGAAGAACAAGGGAATGTATGTGAATTGATTAGCGGAGACAAAGATCTTGGAGAGTGTGATACCAATCGTCTTGTTTACCAACCTGGTTACATGTTTCATGCGATAAAACTCAGCAGGAAGGTATGTAAAAGAGTGCCCTGTTTCTCTATGAATCAAAAGGGTTTTTATTTACAATTAACAAGCGCAAACCAGTGCAATGGAGGTTCGTTTCCTTGGTGTGCGATTCGGAAATCTCTAGTAACCTTGAATTCGGCGCTGTGACCAGATGAATTGTTTACAGGCGAATACATGAAATACACGCCTGGCGACAGAACGAATTTTTTTTTTTATTGAGGTAAATCATGTGTCGTTGAAATGTCTATGGATTGTAGAAATGGTCTGACCCGATCAAACACCACCAGATTAACTGACTGACCGACTGATCCGATACCGAACCGACAGACGAATGACCGGCTGATCGACTTACTGACTCACCTAGCGACCGACTGACAAACTGACTGGCTAACCAACTGGCCTACTGATTTCCAAACTAATGTCTGACTGCTGAAGAACTGAGCTCGACTAAAGAGTGGTAAGTCCCATATCCTTCACTTTTTTTTCCTTTCAGGAAGCAACCGAGATAGTGCCATACAAAAAGACGGTGAAAAATAAAGGTAGCACTGAAATTTTTCAATTTCAGGTTGATTTACCTTCTCGAGTGAAATAGAAATTTTTTGTTAGTCAAGATAACCTCACTTTTGTTCAAATTGCTTTGAACTGGGCTCCAACCAGCTATTCTGATCTGTTACTATTTCGTTCATACCATTAATATTTTTATTATCATCACTGTCATATACTCGTGTTTTTGCTCTGTTTTCCGCTTAATCTTGTTTATTAGCTCCTTCATAATTGCATTTGTTACTCCCATTTACTTCACAATTCGTCATCGTCTGTGCAGTTTTTACCTAGTTTGTTTTTTTTAGGTGCTGTGATTATTAATTTTCTTTTAATAGGCTTCACAGATTGCTACGAGTTATTTCAAGCGGGAAGAACACAAAGTGGAGTCTACACAATCACCCCTGACGGCAAAAACGAGTTTGAAGTCTTCTGCGATCAACAAAAGAGAAACAGTGGTGGATGGGTCGTCTTCCAAAAGCGATTCCATGGCTCGGTTGACTTTTTCCGAGACTGGGCGAGCTACAGAGTTGGATTTGGTAACTTGACAGGCGAGTTTTGGCTCGGTCTCGACAAAATACACCGACTGACGTCCCTGAAACGGACTATTTTGCGCGTAGATCTCGGTGATTTCAATGGAGACTCTGCATACGCCACGTACGATAGGTTTCAAGTTTTAAGCGAAGAAAACTCATACGCGCTCCATCTTGGAAAGTATTCAGGTATATAATTAAATAACATAAGCATATATTAGAAAACTTTGAAGGAGTACATTTGACTTGAAGCTCAGTGTACTGCAGATTTTGAAAAAGTACACGTTATGGCACTGTAAAAAAAATTTACTCTGTGTACTTTTGAGGGATTCACATAAAAACAGGTCTAGAGAGGGGGAGAAGCGATTCTTTTCCATCTTAGGATGAAAATATACTAGCGAATTAGTCAGGAAAAGATAAGTTTCTGGGCTTTTAAGAGCTTTGCAATTTTTTTTATGTATGTTAATTTGTTCTTTGGCGGGAGGAGGTGAAAATAAACAAATGAATTAGTCAAGAAAAGAGAAATTTTCTCGGCTTTCAAGAGTTTTGCAATTTTTTTTGTATGTTAACTTGTTCTTTGGCGGAAGGAGATGCATCAACCTTAGCCTTCATGGCCGATGGTTTTTTGTGCGCATTGCAGCATCAAGCGGTGGAGCTTTGAAACAAGCAGCGAGGTCACGGGAGGTTTCATACAAAACCGCCAGCTACAAAGGCTACTTCCCTGCCCCCCTGAGGCTACAAAGGCTACTTCCCTGCCCCCTGAGGCTACAAAGGCTACTTCCCTGCCCCCTGAGGCTACAAAGGCTACTTCCCTGCCCCCCTGAGGACTCACTGCTTTACTAAAAACGTATGAGCCTGACATTGATGATATCATCCTTGCAGGAACAGCCGGTGACTCCTTGAGGTGGCACGATGGTTTAACTTACTCCACCAAGGACCATAATAATGGGGACTGCCCTGCTATAGAATGTGCCAATATGTACCATGGGGCGTGGTGGTATGGAGCCTCCATCCGATCACACCTTAACGGCAAATACTATATGACACCGAATGCACCAGCATACAATGGTATCATTTGGGCAGACTGGAGGGGATTTAATACCTCCCTGAAATGGACAGAAATGAAAATGAGACCCATGTCTTGACTGTACAACAGTCAGCTAACAAGCTCTTCTTGCAGGGTAATGTTCGTTTCCTCAAGCTCTCTAAAGACACATATACCCTAAGTTGCATAGATTTAAAATAGGAGTCTTCAATCTCAAATCCTAATGCAAACTTATTGTCGACAATAAAAAAAAGAACAAAATATTCATCGTCCCGGCTATGCCAAATTAATTTGATTTTGAAGCACTGGTAGCGGATACGTCTGAATGTATCCGTTAGAATACATATGAAAAGTGAAATGAAAGGAACGAACAGAAATAAAAAAATCATCACGCAAATTCATTGTGGACTATACAAAAAGAATAAATTATTGATGGCCCATACTACGCAGATTAATTTCAAATTTAAGCGCCGGCGGAAGCTGAATGTATTCTATAGAACACATATAAAAAGTCAAATAAACCTAACAAACGAACAAACAGAAACAAAAAAAAAAAACAAAGAAAAAAAAAACAAATTGATAACGATAAAGACAAAAACAAAAAGAATCATATAGAAGACGACCGAAAATCTTAAGCGAACAAAAACAAACAAAATCAATAAATAAATAAAACACAAAGGCAAAGGAATGTGACATATGCGTTTTCTAATAGCTTTATTTTCGGTCCGGAGTAAAGGTCCAAAAGTGGACAGTAGGTAAAACCACCAGCATTGATAAAGTTCCCTTTTCAAATTTCTATGGCGTAATTTGGACGGAGCCTGAGAAATAACTTGACACAGTGAGCACATTAGAAGACGAAAAAGTAAAGCTGTTTCCCACTAATTATACGTAATCACAACAACAGGGTAGTGGAGGAGGGATGTGTTGGTGAGAAATATGGCATGAGGCTGTATATTATGTTATAAACACAAATAAAAAATCGAAGCCTTTACTGTTGTGCTCTTAATACGCCATTCAGTAAAATTTGTATATCGTTGAATTCAAATAAATCTTGTACAATTTGTTTAACACCACTGTAACTCAAGTTTCGATATTACTTCTATTTTAAATTGGTGAGATGCGTGTTCTGTGATTGGATGCTATTGCTAGCTATCTATTTTGTTTGTTTTTGCTCGTAGATTTTCTTTACGATTGTAAAGGCGCTCTCGAAAATAGACAATGATAATCTCTGAGTTTAAATATGCTTCTGTAGCGTAATGCTGAGATGTGTGAATAACTACGTCACTGTTTGTGACGGACCCCAAACCATTATGTTTTCAGCGAAGACGCCATCGAAAAAAAGGTAGATCCCATGATGGTCCTTGATTTAGGACAATCTAACGGTGGATAAGCACATTAGTGTAAGGTAGATACAATTTCCTGACTGCGTTACACTTGATATAATTGTATTTGACCCTGACGATGCTAGCTTCGTTAAAACGGCCAAAAAATAAATAATAATAATAATAAAATAATATTATAACATAATAATATTATTATAATATTATTGTATTAACATAGCGGGCACCTTCAAGGCCAACGTAAAGTAACAGTGCGAATTTTGCTGTTTTGGAGACTTTTAGGGATTATTGTAGAGACTTTTAGGGAATATTTCGTTTTAGTTTTTAGACATAAACATCTGTATAGACGTACGTTTCTTAAGAAGACATAGTCTACGCTTTGCGCCCAATGTTCTTTTATTTATCATAGCATCTATAGTGTACGCTGCGTCAAAAATAAGGATTTAAAAGTATCTTATTAACATCTGATTCAAAACGGTATTGAAATTTCAATTTCAATATTCAGATTGTGTCTTCCTCGTTGGCACTTAGCGATAGGTACTACACGCATATACTACTAGTAATTATAATGAAATAACTTGAACCGTTAGGCGTCAAAATTGACGAATTTTATCCGTAAGTCGTAAAAAAAGTTAACCGTAAAATTTCTCCTTTTCAAAAAAAACAAAGATAAATTAACCGTTAGCCGTAAAATCGCCAAAAACTTTAACCTTTAGTCGTGAAAGCCATCACTCCATTTATACTCTCCATCAACATGAATTCGAACTCGCGCATCTCAGTATTTCAGTGCGTTGGTCGTTTAGCAAAACAAATTTAGTGGATTGATTCAAAAAAGCATATTGAAACTAAAGTAAAATCGTACGGTTAAGAAGTCAACTGGACGCACTCTGTAAATGTTCTCTTTTGTCTTTATTGATCGGGCATGCATCTCAGGGATAGAAAGAATTGTAAGGAATACATCTCGCGGGTTCTTACATGCAATACACAGCTTGTCACAATGTTGCGAGTGACTGGGATCCACACATAACGTTGCGGTGACCTGGGAACTTGTTGCGTAAAAAACATGTCGGAATGATCGCGTAGTTCGACCATCATCCCATTAAAGAAATGGTGAGTTTTTGCGTATTTTCTGAGTTAAGGCTTTTAAAATCATCAATATAGGGTTAATGAACCATAATCTCTCTTTAGGCGAGATTTATTGCCCAAATCATCATTCTTGGTGGTCAAGTTATCGGACGAGCGTTTGCTCAAGCCCTGCGTCAGGAGTTTCAAAGTAAGTGATGCAATAAATCTTAGACTTTAGTCGTTTAAAACGCACTTTCGTGATTGTCTGTAACTCTTTGTAGTTTTGTGTTTGTATGATTTTATAGCTGACCCTTTTTATTGCCTGTAGAAATCGTAGGGTATTTGTTTACCGGGACATATTGTAACTTGCTAACTCGTGTCAAATTAAATGAGCGTGCACGCTTAGCTATATATTACATCATTTTAACAACGTGGTAACAAACTGTATCACACTCCTCAAGATACTTGCTTTTTAAGTTTTTTATATGGAACACATTGCCCATATTTACTCGAAGTAAACTCAAATAATATTCTGTGAAACAGAAAGCACAGTCCCGTCGAGGAACTATTTGCTCTTGTCCTCAAATAGCGTGAAATATTATGACTGGGAATTCTGCGTTGAATGAGAACGTTTTTTTACTGTGATCATACTCATTATTAACATATTATATGTGGTAAACATGGGTATAATTATTGACCAAACTGGACTCCACTCAGTCCTCAGCCTTAAAAGTGGTTGATTTTGTTACATTCTGTGAACTCAGATTTCATGAATTTTATGAGGAAAAGAGGAGAATTATAGTCATTTATAATGTTTCTACAATCTGGCTGTTGTGGTACTAGACATGAGTTTCATTTACATGTACAAGTTTTTCTTTTTGTTGTTGTGCTATTTGCTTTTATTTGCTAGGTCCTGAGGAGGAACTGTCTATGATTATTTACTTATGTATGATTTTTTTTTTTTTTTTTTTTAGGTGGAGCTGCAGCTCAGAAAGCATCAAAGGGGGCTCAAGAGGGTGCCAAAAGAGCTGCCTCAAACAGTGTTATGGGATTGACTTTAGAGGTAACTTTGTCATTTAATTCTAAATTTAACAATTGCTGGCACATATGCTGAATGTTTTCTGGAACAAAGGTAAACAAACAAACAAAAACAAGGAAAGAAATAATACACAAGAACACAGAGAGGGAATATCTGCATTTTTAATAGCTTTATTTTCAGTCTGGGTAAAAAATGGATGAAGCTGTATCAATAAACAGAACTGGTATTAAATTTCATAGGCATAGTCTGGCCCTCTGACAGGGTGCGGGAAGAATATGAAAATTATGCGCTTTATCGGAGGTGAATTGTGCGGGAGAAAAAGTCAATTGTGCGGGTAATTGTGCGGGATTGTGTAATCTTGCGTCGAACAAAATATTTCGTATCCCACTCCCTGTTAAAGTAAACAAGCGGTTCTCCTCATAAATCATACCTTTTCTTATAATATCAATGTGAAATTCCTTCTGTAATGGCTAAATGACTTCTTGATTTTACTTTGAACGATTTTTATCTTATTGACTGAACTTAAAAACCTATTTTGAAACAATTCTTTGTTCGTTAAAGCGATCGAAAGAGCTAAACGAAAAGACTCGAGGAGATGGCCCCATAATTTGAGTTCGCCAGTAAAAGTTACTGTGGATGGAAGCCATGTTTTCTTATTCCATTACGATTTATGAAAGTCTTAATATCTGACAACCCATTCGTCCTGTAATTGCCAAGAATAAACATTACTTTTTTTCTCTTTGAATGAGAAAGCCACAACGCCAGTGGCCTTATTCAACAACACCTCTGATTCGTTATTTGAAAAGCATAGGCACAAACCGCCAATGAAAAATAGAGTTAGAAGTAGACTAGTGCCCAGGAAAGCGCACGCTACGGTAAGAATGCCTTGTTGTTTGAATAATGCGATCGATGAGTTGTTTGATGAAAGCATGGAAGTGCTAGAGTGTTTTTTGAAGGTAAATAGTCTGAAAATAGTCTAAAATATTCTAGAAATCTTGATACTCGACAGAAATACCCATTTTGATTGAAATTTCAAATAAAAATTTCCATTTTGTGTGGGATTTTGCGAAAATTCACGGATTGTGTGTGATTCTGCCGGTTTGACCGAATTGTTTGGTTCCCCACCCGGGCACCCTGTCAGAAGGCCTCCATAGTAAATAAATCCTAATTAAGAAAATTCCATTTGGACACAGTAAGCACATGAAGAGATCATTTTGAACTCCCTTCTATTAATGATAGGTAATCACAACATCAGGGTAATGGTGGGGGGGTGGTGGGTGGGTAATGTGGCATGAAGGAAAGGAAATGAATGTATATGGCATGTAGTGTGAACACATGATAGTATTCAGGAAGTAATGAAAAAACTTTCTATGATAAATTGTAGTCACTATAATATTTCCATGGTATTGTGAAATTTCTGAACCATCAAGTGTAAAATGTTAACTTCCAATTAACAAATGGTTAACACCGCTGTGTACACTATTGAGTTATGGATGCACGCGGGAGGTTGCTAAGCACGAAAGAAGCGTAAGAGTCGCTCGAGGCGATAGCCGAGCACGTTTTTGCTGCTCACAACGAAATGTTGTCTGGCGACAGCTAAGAAGACCATTATGACAGTGCATTTGAAATGTTTACTTTCTACCCGAGTGGGGGAGTATTTCTTAATAATAGGCTGGTGGGGATGTGCCTTTTGATGGCGTCGCATTTTCATTTTTGGATTGACAGCGATGGGTTTGTATTGTCAAAAGAATTGCACATTTTCGGTTTTCTTGGGGGGCTAATGAATTTCTAATAAATAGGTAAAAACGGGAAGTTTCGCGGTCAGAAAGTTGTTACGTTTGCTCAAAAGTAACTGAGATGTGGTCTATACTTGAATACAGAATATACAACAATAGGGTAGGGATGGTTCTGAAAGGCCAGTGGCATATATCCAGCAAAAATTGACACAAACCGCAACCCCCACCCACGGGGAATTTCAATCAGTGGTCGGGGCGTGAAGCAATCGTTATTGCATCACGACCGACAATCACACCCACTAAGATTGAAGGTAGCCATATGAGTAACGAGAAAAAAAGCAATTTTCCAAAAATAAATCGTGTTTTAAGGATCATTATCTAATGACGTTTGTCAGCACGTGAAGCGACTGCAAATAACAAGGGCCCTAAGCACTTACCTAGATGCAAGTTATAAATACTGGCTCTCAAAGAGCGGTTGTTATGTAAATACGTCTAAAGATGTTTGTCAAATATGTCTGGGAAGGTGGATTCCGTCTACGTTTGGTGTTAAATTCATAATTACTAATCTTTCGGTTAATTTTTCTGTCTTTATATTGATGACCTTCAGCTTGAACTATGCCAAACGGGAACATTAACAGAACGTCAGTTATTATAAGAACTGAAATTTAGTGAAGGTTTTTTTTTTTTTCATATAATTACTATTTCTCTCTTTTATCAAGGACAACAGCTTACAACAATTTATTTCCCAAACAAGTGAAATAAGGTGGCTCTTAATTAAATATGACAATTTTTTTAAACGCATGCCTGAATTCTCTAATCCTTGCGGCATAAACGAAAGGATTCCAAGCTGAACTGCTGAAAGCCAAGAAAATTCCCCATAACCAATGACGGTAGACCTGATTCTTCTCACAACGATCCTTGGTGGCTACATCTATAGACGAAAACACTACGTTTGGAAAAAATGTTATGAAAAAAATACCGATCACTATTCCTGAAGTCCAAGCGGCTTTCTTGTTTTTAAGCATTTCAGTTGCCTCAGC